GGGCCAGTGACGCTGCGCCCTCCACAGCTAAGATGGTGAACAACAACTCGACCTGGAGCTGGGCTGCCGTGAGTCACCAGCGACGGCGTAGGCTGCAGCCCCTGCCATAAGCTACCGTGTGTGGTTGGTAGCCAGCATGAGTGGCTGGCAGCTGGTGTGAGCTGCCAAGAGCCACTGTGAGCGGCCGTCCAGTGGCCAGCAACCGATCTGCCTCACCCAGGAAGAGTGCAATGATAATACCAACATGGGCCAGTGAAGTGATGTCCTCCAGAACTAGACTGAAGAACAAAAAGGACAGCAACTTGTCTGTTCCCCTTCCCCGATTCCCCAACGCTGTTCCCCTCCCCCCAACTCGCCAATAAAACCTTGAAGAAAAAAAAAGAATGGAGGTAGTGAAATAGCAGCGCAACCCCCGACACTAACAGAGTTGAAGACAGGGCATCGATCAGGAGGCTGCCTGGACTGGACTGGCCTTCAGCCAGGCAGGGTGTACCCAGTTCCCCACTCCTGCGCCCTTAAGGAGTCCCGTGCTTGCACTGCCTACTTCTCATCCCTGTGGTTCCAGTATGAGCCCCCATGGGAGTCCAAAGTGAAGGCAGTGTCAGTTTCTTAGCTGCAGATGGAAAGCCAAGAAGGATGTGCCCTCAAGCTGTCTAGGCTACATACAGAGGAAATGACCCCTGGTGTCTAAATTGGAGTCTTGAATGCATTTTCCCCCAAAGACATATTGCTACACATAGCGATTAGGTTCTGTGGTACTATCACCATTGTATTTCAGACAGATTTTTGGCCAAAGAAAATGTTGAGGGTTGCTTGGGGATCTGAAGACCTTCTATAACAATGTTGCTCTAAGAAAATGTTCTTCTGCTTTCTGGCTTGCAGACTTCCTGAAGCTAAATTTAAACTGCTCGGACTGCTCTTCCAGAGGTATACACTTGGCAGAGGGAAAGCCCTTGAAGCCTGGGCTGTGTCTTCTTGGAATCCTCCTTCAGGAACCACACACACACCAGCTCTCAACGCCATGCCTTGCACATTGTGTGTATTGAGCAAGAGGCTAGAAACTGAATGATGGTGTCTGATTTGATCTTGCCCACAGCAATTTTGGAAAGTTTTGACCATGAATGCAAAGAGCTGTTACTGTCACGCTGCCTCCTGCCCAAGGTTTCTATCATTAACTCAAGAATTGCATCACAGGAAAGACATTCCAGTCCGTGGGAGTCTAGCTTGGTCAGGGAAAGGGATCTCGTTAGACGTCATCTGGCTCTGGGCCACAGCCAGGATTATCAGTCTCCCATCAGGAGCGGCTAGAGTGACACTGGCTTGCCCCCAGCTGAGGAACTTCCACATTTGGCTGAGGCCCTGAGGGGAGACTTTGCCTGTTTGACTTTTCCAGCCCTTCATGCTTTTATCTTTAACTAGCTCACTGCTGGTGTGGTTGGGAGAAACACATTTTTGAGCATTTCACTTTAATTGATTTTTTTTCCTGGCTTTTATTTTTGAGTCTTTTGCTGCCTTGTTTTCAGCCTTCTCTGCAGAATTTGACTGACGCCTTCAACTTTCAACTTCCTCAATTTTTTTTTTTTGCATTGACATTGATGTTCGTTCACACCCCTTTGGTTTTTAGCATACCCTTTTCACCCTAATTTTGTTCAGCTTCCATTTAAGAGCTGCATTTCCTTCTCCAGTCTGTAGACACATCAATAAGCACAATGCCACTGTCTGGGTAAGTTAAGCTGCTCCTCTTAGGCCGACTTCTTTTTCCCAGTGCTTCAGTTTCACAGGTTTCAATCGTATCAGCTTTATCTTTTTTGGATATGTGTCCAGATGAGCAGCAGAGATCTCCTCTCCCAGGACTCTATGCAGAGTGCTCGTGTGCTTAATATCTGCAAAGCAACCGAAACCAGGACAAGGCAGCAACCTACATTCATTTTCCCTGGTCCCAGTACTAGGCAAAATGTTTGGCCGCTATGTTTGCAACGGCTCGTCCAGAAGCCAGCTCTGGTTACCATGCAACTTTAAAGAATGAAGGATGCATGCTTCCAGTCCTATGCATGTGATCAGATCCACCAGGCATGGCCTCCCAGCACATTTGGAAGAACGGCTCTCATTTTTACCAGTTGGAAAAACTGAGTCGGGGAGAAGTGAAGATGAAGCTCACACATCTGTCAGCACCGTCATCAATATGACCATCTTCCCTCCTGTCTGTCATAAATGGCCAACAGGACAGACAAGATTTCGAGAAACATGTATTTCTTTAGTGTGGACAGGCTTATTAAGAATGAGTATATTAATGTGAAATCATTTAATAAATGAATTACATATAATTTGCACTTTTACAAGTAAATAATAATACTGTCTATTTGCTTAGCCTTGTACAGCTAAAAATTACTTCACATAACTAGAAAAAGCCCTCAACATGGGTAAAATGAACCTGATCCTTCCCTGTCCACAGAAGAATAAACAGAGGCATGGGGTGTCTCTGGGCCAATGTTCCTGGGCCAGCAGTTGCCAGAATCAGGGCTAAAACTCTAGCCTCCTGCTGCAGACTGACCTTCTTTAGTCCATCCTGCTGCTGTGAGCAGGAAGGGGATACAAGAATCTGACATGTAGAGCCTGAGTTGGGATGGCATTTCGCTTTATTGAGAAGGCTTCCTAGAAGAGATCTGAGAAGCTCTAGGGGAGTTTGTCATTTTAAGACACTATTTCTTTTCACACCAAGGAGCACCCTTTGAAGATGTTTGGTAAATGAAGATTTGGGAAAAGCCTAGTGGTAGCTGGAGTGGTTGTGGAGGACTTTTCCCCTTGTCATCTTCCATTTACATTGAGATAAGACCTGGTGGGAAATTGTACAGCCAATCGCAAGGATGAGTTTGGGTTGGCATTCTCTGAAACACAGACAGTTTATCTCTCTCTGAAAGGCAACAGCACAATATCTAGGACTGGGATCTGAAAATGTATGTGAGAACTTTCTAGCCCTAAGAGTTCCCATCTGCTAGCAGGTCACAGCTCTTCTAACATAAACCGCAGCTTCTCAATCAGCAGAAAAGTCTACAATTACAGCCATTCTTTGGAATCCTCTCAGCAAAAGAGGACATTCCTTGGCTGGTTTCGAAACACCAGTGCAGATTTGCACTGGGAAAGGAATGCAGTCTGGAAGAATTGGCCAATGATTTACAGATTAAGTCTCCTATTAACTAAAAAAGCATGAGAAAAGGAGGCTTACCAGCACACTGCATACAGGAGCAGCAGTGTGAGTGAGAAGGTGGGGAAGTGGTAGAAGCAGTGAGTGGAAAAACAGATAAATCATGGAAGAGCTGGAACCAGGAAGGACCCGGCATCTGAATCCTAATAATCCTTTAGGTCTTCATAGCAGTTGTGACTTGCCCAGACAATTCAGTACTTATTATCTCAATGGGTTAAAAAACATACAAGACTCAGTGAGAGCAGAAAGAGAGGCACCATTTCCCTCTTACAGATGAAGGCACTGAATTTTGGCAAAGTGAAGCATTTTGTCCAGGGTCACATTGCTGGGGTGAGCCCACAGTAGAGAAGCAGCCTCCTGATTTCCACAGGGTCGCTGCCTTTCCACTGAGGACGATGGCCTTGACCTGGTACCTTAGCTGATGGGATTGACCTCGGAGGGCTGAGGAGGAGCTTCTCTAGCTGCTGCTCAGAGAAAGATGATGCGTGGGGCCGACAATGGCTGGCAGGGCTGGAGCCAGGGACTCTGGGAGGAAGTGGCTGGAGAAGTCCAGGAGAAATACGAGGAGGAAATGGACTGAGACAGTGCTTGGAGGATGCACAGGGAGATGGAAATTTGGAGATGGAAAGGAAAAGGCAACCTCCAGCAGCTGACAATGCGTGGAAGGAAGGGCAACGGGCTGTGGAAAATAACTCAGAGACTTCCTGCTTGTGAAGCCAGGGCTGTGCTGTCACTGCCCACTGCTCCTGCCAGGTAAGTCCCTTCTCTTGGGTAGGAACCACTTTACAATTTCAGCAGAGATGCCTAACGGCTTCAACACTCATCATTGTTAAGCAGCCTCATACCACAGGCGACACGTAGAGATGCCCCGTGCGAGGCGTCAGAGGCCAGGAGTGCCCAGCACATCTGACTCAGGTGTCAGGGGAGGTGTCCGAGGCCTGCCCCATGCTCACCTCCTGGATATTCTGCTTTGCCCGGCTGTCAGAGGGATGCATAATTGTCCCCATCACTTTCACGTTACCACAGACAACCAGGGCTTCGTCCGGTGCATCTGTGTTTATACCCACTCGACCATGACATACAACAGACTCTGGAACTTGTCCTCGCTGCCATAATGCATCACTGTCATTTTCAAATTGCCCAGGGTTAGAGGCCTGGAAAAATACATAAATATATTACAATTAAAGTTACAGTAGCAGGAACAGATGATTGCTTTATACCTCAGAGCAAAGACAAACAATGTTTTTTTAAGTCGTTCACTGGAGAATCATATATTGGATGGGACATTCAGACATATCCAAATAACTGTGTCCCTAGAAGAGCCAGGGGGCTCCCCTAACTGCTCTGCCCCCCACCAACAGGAGCTCAGCATGCCCTAGTTTGGAATATCCAGTCTCTATTGAATGTATCTGGAACTGAGAATGTGTCAATTATACTGGGTGGAAAATGAAAAAGAAAACTCAAAATGACTATCTTTTCAGGGTTAATAATGATAATGATTTAAAACCAGAACATTACATCAGAAAATATTACAAGCTCATTAAAACTCAGATAAACAAAAATACCTTGCATTTAACTGGCCCCTTTATACTTTCAAAATACTGTCCTATCTATGATTTTATACTCAATTGATAAGCAAATGACAATACAAATACATTGAATACACCTCAACTGTTCCCTAAACAAAGGTGATCCTGGAGGAAGAATAATAACAGCTACATTTGCTGTGTGCAAATCCACACCCCAATTCTATGAGACATGTACTATTATTTTCATTGCAACCAACACTCTTAAAGGATAAACAAATTGCCCGCCACAAAGCTAATAAATCCTGAGCTGAAATTATGCTTCCTTTGATTATTAAATAATGATTCTAACTTTGCCTTTTTGTGCTGTGGCCTAGGTGCAGCCCTGGCCAAATTCAGTCTTCAAAGAAAATCCAGGTGAAACTTTAGACCAATTTCTGGAGATTTGACTCTTAAATAAAATTGTTTGCGGAAGAATTTCCCACTGTACTGCCTTCCCTCTTCTCCATGGCCCACTGAATATATTTCCAAACACCTTTAAGTAGGGATCTCTGAATCCCTCAAAATCCTCACAACAAAATTAATTTGTTTTCAAAATTATGACTTATCCTTCTGAATCTGATTTTTGTGTGTTTGAGGCAGGGTGTCAGAAATTCAGACAAAACAGTAGGGACCCTGATCATCTAATGAGTCAGCACTGATGCCAAGTCTACAGTTTTTGCCTTTCTGGTGGTTTATGAGACATTGCAAACTAAGCACCTGAATGTGCATAGATGATCTCTGAAGAACACTCAAGAAACCAATCACAATGGTTGCCTCAAGGTTGGAGACTGGCAGATGGAGAAACTGGGCTGCGAGGGAGATTTACTGTTCACTATATATTCTCTTGGTATGATTTGAATGTTTTTTACCATAGGCATGGGTTACCAATTGAAAAATAATAATGAAAATAAACCACAAAGTATAGTTTTTAGTTAGGGTTCAGTGAAAGAGCTTTTAGATGTCTTTGACTTCCTGTTTCATTCCCACCTGTCTGAACCCTGAGCTGCTTGGAAGACTCAACCATTGACACTTGATAGACAAAAGCAGTGAAAGAATATAAAGTAACAACGTTGAACATTATTTTGTGTGAATTCACTTGAACAAAGAGCTTTTCCGCAGGGTCCCTAGAGCCCCCTTGGCTGTGAATGGCAAATTGGCTTTGGCTCAAATCCTTTTATAGCAAGCAATCAACTAAATCCAAAGGTATGCTGTATAAAATGTTGATGGAGTTTGCTCTGCTCTGAACATAATGAGCCACTTCAAGGAAACAAAATAGGACAGTGATGGATTTTTTTTTCCTTATTGAGCATTGGGATAATTATTATTATGTTGGTAACTGATAGCAGAACAGCAGATGTAAGTAGGTTTAATTTTTTTGGAACAATTACAACAACTCACTTGGCTTTCATCAGATAAAAACTCAAATTGCTAAAATATGTGCAAATCATTTTGGAAAGGGCCAGAGACCTACAATGTTCTAAATAGCCCTAAGGAGGTGTCCTCATCCATAATGGAAAATGTTTTCATAAATTCTGTGAACTACTTTTTTTCTCTAGATCCAGAATCTTAATGTGTCAAAGCAAACTGTAATGGAATCACAGAAGAACTTTCTGGAATTATAGTGGTTGGTTGATATCAAACATCAAAATGAATTAAAGTTTCCAAAATAGTTTATCCCACAGCCTCATATATTTAGGGAAGACCTGAACATTTTAGTCTATGTTATGACACTGGCTGTATGACCTTGGGGCAGTCACTTAACCTTTCTGTACCAGTTTTCTCCTTAATAATGTCTTCTTTACCTATCTCACAGGGTTGTGGTAATTTATTGAAATCATTTATACAGGAACACTGCAAAAATGAGGACGGATATTCTCAAATCCACCCCCAATACTTCCGCTGTAAAGAGCAACCACTATTCAACCTGTAATCTGTTTATCTGCTCTCCTTAGCAACAAACACACCTGCAGAGTTGCACCATTGGGGGGGAGGGACGGACACAGCCATGCACAAAGAATACAATGTAAATGGCGCCCCCTGCAGGTGCTTGGAATAGGAAACAAATTAATAGGCGTTTGAGGCTGGCTCCCAGTTTGGAATGGAAAGCTGGAATTTCTCTGCTTTATCTTTGTTTGGGCTTCTAAAGCAGTAGCCAAAGAGCGTAATAGCAGAGCTGGAGCTGAGGAAGGCCGCTCATAAGAAATCAATTTTTGTACTCTTTTGAATGGGCTATAGAAAATGGGCCTTGAAATGCTCTCTAGCCACGCTACTCAAAGTGTGGTCCCCAGGCCAGGGGCCGCAGCATCCCCTGGAAGCTTGTGGGGAATGCATATTCTTAGGCATCTCTAACCTACTGAATCAAAAACTGTGAGGGTGGGACCCAGGTAACTGGCACATCTTTGAAAGGCAGAAAAAAGCAGTCATCCATCCAGCTTGCAACACAGCACCAGACCAGGTTTAATGATGTGTTTTAGAAAGAAAGTGGAGCTGAAGGAAAGCCTAGTCATTAACAAGGAGAGTCTGAAGGCGCTCCTCTGGGGAAATACTCCCCAAAACACACATCTGGGAAATAAATCTGTTCTTTGGAGCAAACCTTAATTTCCATTAAATTGGTCAATTTACCCTACAGGACCATAATATGTTTCTAAAGCTGCTTTGATTGACAGCCCAGAAGAATTGACTGGGTCCTGCTCACCATTCTCTCTCCGAGGAGAATTCTGACAAGCGTGGTCTCCTGAACCCCTCCTGGAGGCCTGAAATCGCATCTAGTCCAACCCTCATACAACTGCCCTCATGTGGCTCTATGCTTTTGGGAGGAATGATTCTTAGGCCTCAAAATGAATCTGCTAAATGCAATTCACAGTTCTCCGTTTAATGTGGTCAGGCCTTGCAACATCTTTAATTGTCAAATTTTTCTTCCCTCATTCTGGAGCTCCAAATAACAGAGCCAGGCCATGGCCTAAGAGGGCACATCTGGCTTTTTTTTTTTGTAGCATGTAGGCTGGTCTGCTCTCTGCCCAACCCATGATGCATATACTTGTATGGAATGCTCTAGAATCTCAGGGGCTGAAATGTGTTCTATGGACATTTCTAAAATTCACTGATTCAAGCAATATTGCCATTTCTAAAATTCAGGGGTTTTTTCTTAGTTGGTTTAAATATTAAATAATTAAATAGATTTCAAAGTCTGCATTCATTTTCACTTCTGCATTTTGGGGTTAGAATGAAATTATATCAATAAGATATTACCCGTTTGGGGATGGGGTTTGTGTTATTACCATTATTTTTCTTCTCACTTTTGTTAGAGTAACCCTTGGTTACCTAGCACATTTACAGAATAAATAGGGCATTCTCTTTCACCAATAATTATGGCTAGAAGAAAGCAATCACATCTGGAATATAATTATTTTTAAAAAATAAAAATTCATTGACTAACATGACACTCGATCTATACTGAGTACAACTGAATGTTTTTTAGCATTCATACCAACTATGAATTTCAGATACTTTCAGCTTCTCAAAGTTATCATTATAAGTTAAATTATCATTGTGTTTTGGATATGAGGAGGTGCCAATTAAGAGTATTTTGGTAACAGCATGTTAGACAGTGGGGTTCCCTCTTGTATTGCTGCTGTGTGAACTTGCACAGCAGCCAGAATATAGCTTTGCAGGAGCTGCCAGCAGGAAATGGAGGAACCTCGACACCAGGTAAATTATTCAAAGTATGCAGGTGACTAGCCGACTGCCCAGCTCAGGCAGGAGTTACACAGCTCAGCTCGGAGCAGCACTTTCATGATATCTAATCTCTGCTAACTCTGAAAAGAATGGCATTGTCTGTCTTTATTCCTTCCTAGGAGAAATCAAAAACAATAAACATCCTAGGTGTCCAGACTTTATTTTAAATCAGATCCATTAATGCAGCAGAGCAATCCTAGATTATATCAGGTGAGCCCCGCTGAGGGAGGGCCGGGACCTTATGCCCTTGGCTCATGACAGGGGAGAGGGCCCCACCTGCCTTTGCCTGGGAGGAGCCTCACTTGCCACAGGTTAGATCAGGCCCCACAAAGCGCTGCCTGGGGCATGCACGCTGGCAGGCAGGCACATAGCCCGGCCCTCACCCTGGGACATCTGAACACATTAGGGTTTTACCTCATTTCCATCATTACCTCACCTCCATTAAAATTTTGAGGCACACAGTTTAAGGATTTCCACTAAGAGGTAGCTTATTATTTTTAATTGACTAAAAGCTTGCACAGAGGGCCCTTTGTTTCAGAATAGCTGAAGGCAAGCAAGGAAAGTCTCACTTTCCCAAATGGGCCAATCTTGTCCTCGGGCCTAAGGTGCATGGCCGCGTGTGTGGGCATGCTCGTAGTAAACGCTTTTCCTTGTAGTGGTTCATATGTCCACCCTGTGTCACTTCAAAGACCCATGACAACACGGCCCCTCCCAGGGCTGCGAGGCCTGTGGTTACCTGTTCCCTCATGCCCCTGGCTTCCTCAGCAGTGGCCAGCCTGGCCTCACACAGCTGCAGCTGCAGCTGCCAACAGCTTCATGTTTTTGTGGATGCCAAGACTCCCGTCTATAGCTGTGACCAATCAGTCATTCAGCAAAACATGCGGAGCCAATACTATGTTCTAGGCAGGGGCCCAGATGCCCCTGGGGTCACCTATCACTTTGGGGCATGGAATGCCTTCCCACCATTTTTCCTGCCCTGTGGTCTCTGGGGTCAGAGAGAACTGGGTTGTAACGAGACTCCATCCTTTACAAGCTGTGTGATCACGAATGGGTTTCTCACCTTCTTGCTCCTCAGCTCCTCTGAGTGCAAAGAATGGAATACAAATGTAAAACTATGTAAAATGATGTCATATATAGATTATTTAGCCCAGTGCCTAGAACATAGTGTAAAAACCAGGGTTTCTCAACCACACCACTGTTGACTTTTTAGGAGGACAATGTTTTGTTGTGGAGGACTGTTCTGTGCATTGTAAAAGTGTTGAGGAGCATCCCTGACCTTTTCCCACTAGATGCCTGTAGCACCCCCCAGCTGTGACAACCAAAAATGTTTGCAGACATTGCCAAATGACACTTGCAGGACAAAAGTTCTCCTGGTTGAGAACCACTGCGTAAAAACGAAAATAAGAGTATCTTCTATTACTATCCTCAGTATCAACTAAGAAACAGCATACTTCAAACATTGCAAATGCAAATTCCACTTCTCAGGGAGAAAAGCATGTCGGATCCAGAAAAATCAAAGAACTGGGCTTACCCTTACAATGATTCTTTCAGAGATGTGGGCAGACAACAGATAGAACTGGTCTTGGTTAGCAGCATACAGTCCAACCACCAACATGAAGTATCTAATTCAGAAACAGCAGACCAAGGCCAACACATCAGGGAACAGAGACATAATTTGTGTAATCAAATACCAGCCCACAGTTCATCAATAGTGAATTTACCTAGATGGGTTTGCACATTTAAAGATTGCATACTTAAAGCTTTTCTCCTCTGCTCTAAGTTGCCCCTCCTGTGAAACAAGAGAGTTTGTTTACTCGCTGTTGTTCTGGGTCCACCCTTTGCCCAGTCTGAGGTACTGTTGAACTGTATTGTGGACCCCAAAGCAGCCTTTACTGGGGAGACATCCCGCTGGGGGCTTGGGCTCAGCCATCTGTGCTGACCTGGCACAGGCTGCATTCCTGGGTCCTTAGTACAGCACGGCGCACCGACACTGCACAACGAGAAGTTACCTTGGAGGACCCTTGGTCCAGAGTCACTCAAGCTACATGTCCTAGGCCCCAGTGGAGGGAGACCCAGCAGGGTCTGCTCAGCCACACTGGACCCTTCTCACCCCAACCTGCTCGTGGCCATGTACCCAGTTCCTCCCACATCCTCTAGTCGTGACTTTAGTAAAAAACCTGGACCCTTCCCTATTGCTCTCAAGGTAATTTTCATCCTGTAATTTCAATTGCTTCTTAATATGTACCATGGATGAGACATTTTGAAGATCAGATCATTTCTTGAAAGTCAAAATAAAATACTGTCCTCATCAGAGCAACTTTTGCTTTAAGAACTGCATGAAAAACTTCACCAACTTCCTCGGTAACACTCTATAGACTTTCCAATCCCTAGAGAACAATTCTCCTTTGTATCTAAAATAAATCAGTAATGGTAATTATTATCATTATTATCATTATTATTATTAGCTACCATCTACTTAGCGCTCAACATGTCATGTACTGGGCTAAGCAGTTAATCTACTTAATTTCCTTTAGATCTCCAGAACAATCCTGTAGACATAGGATGTGATTATTGTCCCCAGTTTACAGAACAGGAAATGAGTCTCAGAGAGGTTCAGCGATGTGCTCAAGGTCACCCAGATACTAACTGGCAGTATCAAATATCCAAACTCAATTTTGTCCAACTCTAAAACCCATATTCTAGAACCAGTGGTTCTCAAACATAAGCCTGCCTCAGAGTCACCTGGAGGGCTTGTTAAAACACAAATTGCTGGGCCCCACCCCCAGAGTTTTTTATTCAGCTGGTCTTGGGGGAAGCCCAAGAACTTGTACTTCTAACAAGTGTCCAGTTGCTACTATCTCTGACAGTCCTGGGGCCACATGATGAGAACCGTAAGTCTAAATCATAATGCAAATTTCTTTTCTTGTTTTTTTAATTAAAAAAAATGGTTATAGCAAAGCTGCAGGATTCAGGGCATCATATTAGTGCATCAAATCAGCACACAGATTTGAGAAATGCGGTCACTCCTCGGCCCTTGGACAACAATGAGATGTAAACATGTGGTCACTCCAGAGACTCATGGCAGGAACCCAGGCAAGTGGGTGGGGGCTGGGCACTATAGGGGTGAGGATGGAGAAGAAAGACATCTAAGCGTAAGTGAGAAGTGTTAATAAACTGAGAGTCAGGGAAAGGAAGAAAGTGGCAGAGGGAGGCCCGATTTGCAGGCTAGTAGGGCCCAGAGGAGCAGAAGGGCCTCTGGAGGGCACTGCCCGGTCAGATAAAGCACTGACCACGCAGGACGGACACAGTGACACTGGTACCTCTGGTCAGGATTTGGTTTCCCCTTCTTTCTCATGTTATTTGCTGTGGTTTCGCTGAAGTGTAGTCGGCCCAGTGTTATTTTGGTGACTTGGTCGGTCAGCAGGTCAATTCTAAAACAAACGACCAAAATACCAACAGACTGTTAAAGAATATGGAGTCTTTGATCATATCTAACCTGTGCTGAGATTCTTAAGTATGTTCAGTCCCCAGCTCTCGTCACACTGTGGAGGACAGTTTATTCCATTTACTGATGTCTAATAACCTATCCACAGCGTGGCCAGGAATGGCTGCCAGGGAAGGCCACAGAATAACTCTAGAATGGTAAAATATGCTCCTTCAGCCAGAGCTTAAGCCCAGAGTTGCTAACTCATAAGGGCAGTATGCTCGCTACACCACTTATGGGTTCTTTTACCTCCACAATGGGGAGAAGAGACGTATTTCATGTGTGCCTCTCCCACTGTTTCTTTTTTTTTTTTTTTTTTTTTTTTTTAGCTGAGCCATCCTGCTACCTGTTGGCAGCTCAGCGGCTGCTCAGCTCAGGCTGGACTCGAACCGCTGTTGCTCAGAGCTCAAACCCTTGAGCGAGCTCTTAACCAACTGAGCCACTCGGCCGGCCCTCTCCCACTGTTTCTATAGCACTCGCCTCCTGACTAAAGCAATTTCTCTGGGTTCCTCACGAACTCCTTCCCATTTTTGCCCTCTCCTGGCCTGACTGGGAGGCAGCTTGTTCCTAAGGACAACCACACAGAGCTTGCCTGAGTGAGGGGGAGCCAGATGCACCCGGCAAATTTAGAGCTGTGTTTGTACACTGTTGCTCCCACTTGACCATCAGGCTGAGTTCCTGCCTCGTCTGTCCCAGGTAAAGGACCATCATTTTCCAGCCCAAATGGGACTAACTCAGGGTCAAAACACTGAGATGTCTCCATGGCATCCTAGCCAAATCAGTGGAAAAGCAAATCGCACTCCTAAGTCATTCTACAGGGGACTCTCACGTTGGACCACCATATCGCTTTGGATAATCCCAGTCCTGTACGCTGTTCTAGAATCCATTAGGAAATCTATCAACATAGCTTTTAAAAAATAAGAAAAAATGAACTGCAAGCAAAGCATGAATCCAGATCCTCGAAATTAATTCCAACAGCATAGTGCTGAATTAAATGAAAAATTAAATATCCATAATCTATCTCAAGGAACCAAAGTTGTTAGCAAGGCTGTCAGTAGTTAATGACTATAAAAATAATAATGACTTTTAAAATGGAGCTTTTTATAAGGAATTTTTTGCAATTATTTCAAAAATAACTTTACTTTTGTTGATAAACATGTATTCACAATATTAACACATTATTATTGGTTTCTACAGTAGGATTCATTTTAAATAAGCAAAATAAATTGGACAATCGGTCTTCTTCCCAAAACATTCACAACAGAATTCAGAAAAGAAATTCTTACTTAACAGGATTGAAAATCTTTTTGCTTCTATCTGCTTGGGACTGTTCAATAGCAATTATTTGATTGGTGGCTTCTACCTGTGTGGAACAACATAAAGTAAATTAATTACTTAATAAATTAATTTATTAATAAAAATGTCCATTAGTAAATAATGTTCAAGTACTTAAGTTTTCCAAAGCATTATTCTAGGCACTGGGCAAGTCACTGAAAAGATGTATAAGGCAATGGCCCTGACTGTAAAGCAGTGTGCTATTGGTGAGAAAAGAAATACCTGTAAAACTACACAATGAAAACACAAAACAGTATTTCAGGTAAACAGTGAGTACAGAATAGGCTAGCAGATGACTGAAACATCAGGAGCCAAACACAGGAGCAAGGCAGCTCAAAGGATGCATGCGTGCATTCATTCATTCATTCATTCATTCATTCATTCTATAAATACTTGTTGAGCACCTCCTATGCAGCAGACATACCTTATAGTATTAGAGATGAGAAATTGACAAAAGTAACAGAAATCCATGCCTGCAGAGCTTACATTCTAATAAGAAGAAACAATGATGATAAAAATAAAATACAGGAAATGACATTTATTCAGTGTGTACTACAAACTCTTTGTGTCATTAGTGAAAAGTGACAACAAGGACGTGTTGAGATTTGCCCTGTCATCTATGGCTTGTGGGTATTCTCACAGTAACAAGCTTTCTGAAAAATAACTGGGCGACCAACATCAAGAGTTATAAAAATGTTCAATTATATCTTTGATGTGTAAATTCCTCTTCTGGAATTTGTCCCCATGCAAAGATGGGTATATGTGGATTCAACATCCACATATACCCATCTTTGCAGTTTTATTAACAACAAAAAATTGGAAATAAAACTTACAGGAATTCATATGGTATATCTAAGCAATAGAAAACTATATCATTTTTGTAAACAAGTTGATAGAGTCTTTAATATCATGTAGTGTTATTTTTACAATATATTAACAATATGAAATTAATTTTAATAACAGAAAAAATAAGGAAAACTTAGGATTCAAAATATGAATACATTTTTTCTCTTCTTCATATTTTTTTAATTATAGTCAAATTTTTCACAATGGACTCATTATTTCCAAAATCTGAAAAATGTGGTGTTTTTGTTGTTTCTTTGTATTTGCTTTTGTTTTTTGTTTTGTTTTGGTTTGGTTTGGTTTTGGTTTGGTTTAAGAGCAGCTGATGTATTCAGCAGTCTAACTTCATTTTGGGAGGCTCAGTTCCTAAGCTCAGATTAATGATCAGAATAAAATATGTGGATAGTGGATACGCCTCCCCCACAGGCACTGGATCTGAGGTAATAATTTAATAAATACATATTGATCACTCAGAAGACATCCTCCCTGAATTCTAAACCCAGCTCTGTCATTGATTATCTTAAATGAATTGTGAAACACACAGGGCCTCAGTCTCCCCTCTCTGTTAAACTAGAAAAGAGGGGACATTGACTAGATTAGTGGTTCCTTGACTTTTTTAAGTCAGGACCTCTTTGAGAATTTGGTGAAAACTTTGAAACTATTCCATATGAAAAGGCACCAGCATCAAAAAGTATAAAATAATTAAGAATACATTTAGTACAAGTACAAGGTAGAAGTACTTGTACAAAGTAGAAGTACAAGGTTTACACACTCAAAACTAAAAAACTGCAGTTTGAAGTGATGTTGTGTTAGTTTCTGTGCCCAGGTATATGAAATTGGCAGTTTCCACTTCCTGTGTCTTGGAACATTTATTCTTAGAACCTATCCACTGTGCTGTGAGGAAGCACAAGCTATTCCAGAGAGAGATCACATGCAGAAAAGCCAACGCCACCCAGCTACCGCCCATTTGAGCTCCTGGCCAATGACCAGCATGAACTTGACAGACATGTAAGTGAGCCATCTGCAAATTGGATCCAGGCCCAGGTAACTGCTCCCGCTGATGAGTCCTGAACAGAGATGAGCTGTCAGAGCAAAGCCCTAACCAAGCTGCAGATTTGTGACCCACATAAATGATGGTTAATATTTGAAGTTGCTAAGTTTTGGGGTTAGTTTGTTATGCAGCAATAGACAACTGGAACTCTTAATATATATTGGCTGAATTAAATGGAACTAAATACAAAACTTACCTTAACCCCAAAAGCTTTCAAGTAAAACATTTCTATTGGTTTTAGGTCCATTTGGGTTTTGACAAATTTTGGACTTCCCCTAACTTGGATATGGATGGTTATCTGAAAATGGTTCTTCTTCTGACAAACAAAAGCTTCATCTGCTGGTGAAAATGTGAATCCTTTGTCTGTGACAACTCGATATCCTATATTGGGTCTATGAAAAGAGGAATCAAGAAACCAGTTTTACAAATATTTTCTACACATTGTCTTTCATTAACCATATTAATTGCATAAACATTTCAAGAAAGTATATTGCAGAAAGTGCCTTTTGCTATATTTAATCAATTGATTTTGTGAATTTTTAGTGAGGAAATGCAAATGATATTTCAAAACACAGCTGGCTCTCTCGCAGCTTTTTCTCTCGTGAGGAAGGAACACAATTCTTGCCAAATGGAAGCATTGTTTCCTCAGCCTGCCTTTTCCCTTTCTGCTTTCCAGACTTCTAATTTGGCTTCACCGTACAATAGAAGAATGTAGACTAGAAATTGCGTTACTCAGACTTGTGAAATATCTGGGATAGAATTTATCTCTTTCCTCCTTTAAAAAAAAAGAAGTCTCTAAATGTTATCAGCAACGCCATACGCAAATGGTCACTCAGATGAACAAATATTCAGCCTACTGGTGGTCGTAGTAATAAAGCAGACAGGTCAGAAATACCAGGAATAGGTTTAAACCAGATTAACCAGAGTCAGGCATGCTACTAATTGAATACTGGTTTTCAATGGTCACTTCTTTTTTATCCACCCAATCTAGTAACAGAACTGAAAACCTACTATGTTGGTTATTTCTGCAGAAAGGAATAGAATGGTGGTCAAGTGGCTAATCAGACTCTGGCTTTACTTGTTTTATCAAATCATTTTCAATAGCAAAGTTGCATGTTTAATTAAATGTTTAATTAAGCATTTTACATGTTAATAAGAATAAAACATATTAAATGTATAACATTATCAAGTAGAGAAGAGAACATAAACGTTGAAAACTCCTTTGGCAAGTTTTTTCTGGACATGTTGTAGGTATGGAACATGATTCTTAATTCCTAAAGGTTTCTAAATGTGGGGTTTTCCTCAGAAAAGATGCTCCTTCCCAGGACCATACGAGGCGGAAGGCAGTGTTAACTGCTGTGCTAGCTCTCTGCTGCCGTGTGGATTTTTGCATCCTGGGATCTCAGTTTGAAGGCTGCCATTATAATGAACAACACAGAGTTTCTAAAATGTCCTCTAATTCCAGAGACAGAAAATATGAATGGGTCTCTTGGGTAAATAGTATTTCCATGTTCTTTGCAAATAAAGCCCCTTCCCAATGAATCAAGTCACTGGGTCATTGATTACCCTCAAGTAGCTGATCAGTCACAGGCTCTGGAATCATAGTGCCCACCGGCAGCAACAGGAAAATCCACTGAATGAAGAATTTGATAAAGACCACATCCCTGTTGCCATCTGGGAACTTTATATTGACTCAGGTTTCTAGAACTAATCTGCTCATTTGCTCATCTAAAGGCTAGATAGATTGAACTGTATAGATTTTACTACAGAGGGTAATAAGAACTGTCATGGTTGAGAAAAAAAGGAAATATCGTTTTGTGATTTGCCGTGTTTCACTGTCAAAAACTCCGAAGGAGGAAGGTAAAATGTACAGCTCAGATAGGAGCATTAGCCTGAAATGTAAGCACAGCTGTAACAGAAACTGAATTAACCAACAAGCACACTTTTGAAGATTATTCCAAATCTTAAACACCAATCTCTGGTTATAGATATGTATTTACCTAAGAATAACAATTATGTTTTCAATATCAAAAGTTAATTATAAAGTCAACTAAACTGGCTTTTCAACAGCTCTTTTTAAATATCATTCAGAAAAGAAAAATACGATAAATTTTCAATCCCCTAATGTTATTGCTTTTAGGTAATTTAGGGAAACGATGTTTTTCTGACAAATTAGACATAATAATCTAAGAAGCAACAAGTGATTTTCCATCTCAATTATATGAGTAGTGAAATCAAGAGGGACTGATTTCTAATCCAGATGAATATTTCCTTCCTTTTTGCTTAAGGAAAGTGAATTATATGTCGTAAATATACCTCTACACCTTTGAGTTTATACCATTTGTGTTCTCCTTATTTTTCCAGATCAGTAGAGCATAGATTGGCTGCTCAAATAAACTTAAAAAAAAACTCTGTTCAAGTAAGAAGCGAGATAATGACAGTTACCTCAAAAAGTCGATTAACGCAGATACATACAGAATAGGAAGCATTAAAGGCGTCACTTAAAATACTGTGCCTATGTGGGACAGTTTTATATCTTGGTCCTCATATTCAAGATAGAACATGGAACACTCCCCAAAAGGTAATCAAATGAAGGCTAAGACTCAAAACCAAGACCTATGGACTTTGTTTTCCTAAGTGCACACAGTGGTTAAAATGCAAAGTTGTAACATTCCAATGACACAACTAGCAATTTGCTTCTTTCTGCCTCCTATTAAATACACCAACTCCCCAAATCTATTTAACTCCTTAGATTTTGCTTTAAAGAAAATATTTCTTTCTTCTAGTTCATTCAACATAAAAATCCTAGCGATAAGTTTTACTCTTAAAAAACTTATATTTGAATGTGGAAAATACCATGAGGGCCCTCAAGTTTGTAGACCAGCATTTCTCATTTCATATTTTTTTACTTGAAAATCCTACTCTCTAACCATTCACATTTTCTAGTGTTTCAAGAAGGTATTTATAATCAATGAAAATTCTAGAAGACAAGTAGGTAAATTATATCCTCAGGAGTAAAGAAAAGTTTTAAAGAACACTTTAAGAGCAATAATGCACAAGTCCACATTTGTTTCTTGAAAGTATAATATAAGAATGGGATGAAAATTTTCCAGTTTAAGGATATTTTGTATGGTTTGATTTCCATCTCTGAATACAAAGCCACAGACTATGATTGCTGCAGGGTATATGAACTTGATAATGCTGATTCACAGCATAGATATTGGGGGAGGAAGATGTCCCTAGCTAAAAATGTATTGTGGTCCCCAAAATGTATTGTCTGGAATTTTAAATTAACTGCAGGATTAAATGTTAGTGATTTGGGAAATCTCCATTTTCGAGCTTTTAGTTTAAACTGGGCATGTGATCTCTGAAAGATTGCTTCTCCCTCCATTGTTTAGTGGGTAAATTATAACAATTTATAAAAATTAGAATTACAAGTCTGGATTCCTGAAGGCCAGAAACCCAAGTCCCAGCTATTCATTAGTTAGAAGACAAAGCATAAGGAATAAGTACATGGAAAAATAGAATATGCTTGGCAATTGCCTCATGAGATTTAGCTGAAAGTTTAAAAATCATGTATAAATCAGATGTTGGGAAAGGGAAAAAAAGGATGAAGGATAAGAGGTCACTAGCTAACTTCAATATTGATCATTATAGGGAACAATAAAGAGTGTCTAAACAACAACAACATAAGGAGTAAGACGCACTTTCTCATTGACCCACCCCATTTGATCAGGGGTGGCAGCAAAGCCCAAATACTTGGGTTTAGTCTTGAGAGTTAGCACTCTCTTTCTCCCCTCACTCTCCAGCCCCATTGCAAGGGGTTCCTCAGGCCACTTACAGTTTTTCATAATGATTATTTAATAAATTATGCCAAGGAACACTTTGGTATGGCTGCCACTTCAGAGCAGGAGAGAACTGGTCCACAGGCATCGCCTTCTGTCCCTCACTGTCGTGGTCTTGCAGTTCGCTGCCGTGACTCGTACTCATCACTGCAAAGAAACAGGTGTGTTAGATCCTGCTCCCAAGGCTGTTTTTTCTAGACTCACAGGCAGCTTCATGGAGCTAACAAACAGGCCATGGAGGAGGCAGAGTGACCATGTGGGTAGTGACAACGGTTGGGAGGCAGGAGGCGTGTGGCTAGCTCTGGCTTCTCATCTGTAAAAAAAGAGCAGCTTGAGGTCAGTGATCTCTAAGGTGCCATGGTGAGCATGTGCTGGAAATGTTGTCCTCAGTATCTGTCCACCCTACCTCTGGCACAGTATCCCCTCACTTCTGTTCTGGGTGGTTCCAGTGAAGTCTACTCACAGCCTAAGGAGGGTAGGGGACCCAGGCTTGATCAGCCAAAGTAAAGCGTTCACTATTTGTATCAATAATTGCATCAGGTAGAGACACATGGCCTAATCCAATCCAAGCGGAGTGGCTCTCAGCACTTCAGGGAATGAGGGTGCAAAGATGCTGACTCCTTTCCATGAGGTTTGAACCTATGAGATACATCCCCAAGAGAGCTGGCACCATCTGGGGACATGAGGAGAAAGTCTGCCAGCACAGCAGAAGACACCATTGAGAGTGAAGGGCACCCAGTCCTGATGGTATGATTTGAGTTCTGGAATCCAATTCTAAACTCTTGGGTTACAGGAGTCAGCAAATCCACCGATTTTTTTTTTTTTTGGTTCATTTGTTTGTTTTTGCTTAAGGCAGTTTGAGGTTTTGGTTTTTGTCTTTAGTTTTTTTGTTTTTGTTAACTGTAACCAATACATTCTAATTTGTTACTGGTCCCTTGGGGAACCAAAATTCTGTGGTCCAACTAGCTTTTTGAACTTAGAGGAGCTATTTATTCATTCAGTGCCTTACTTCCCTCAACTGCAAAACAGAAATTAAAACAGGTGTCCTGCTCAACTTGCAATATTATACAAGCAGAGAGAATAACATAAGACAAGTGACAGCACTTTCAGAAGCTAATACCAAGGCAACGTGACAGAAAATATCATGTTAACATGTAGTATTGACTATATGAAATTGCTACTTTTGTATGTCAAAAATGGTCAAATAACTGCAATGTCACACTTGCAAGCTACTATTTTTACATAATCCTTGCAAGTTGTTTTTATTTGAGTATGCCTCCAAATTATACAATTCAACTGCAGATAATTTTTATGTAAATTTGATTGGTATGTTTACTGTTCCCCTTTTCTTTTTAAGTCCCCTACCGTCACTCATGGCTGACAGGAGCGAAAGGGAAATAGTGGGTGTTCACAAGATCAAGTTCAGGCTGTAAGAACAACATGGAAATATGACCTTATCTCCTATAGAACGTGTACTTAGCCCACAGCTTGGAAAATGCAGGGGGATACGGCTGCGTTTTCTTTCATGCTTCAAATTTCCTGTCTTTAAACTTTCATTGAGGACTTCCTAGAATAAATAACTATTCAGAACTGCTTCAGGTTGTTTTTGATCCCAAATGTCACAGAAATTGTGTTTTTCATGGTGTATCACTATTACATGTCACCTAAGCAAAACACCTATTTTTTT